CAGTTTCCTTGCCACCCTCTCTACCTATTTTCCTAACCAGCTCTGTCTTTCTGACTAACCAGCCCTATCTGACTCCTCCTTCTCCAGCCAAGCCTCATGTAGCTGCTGACTCCTCTCTCCAACCCTCTCATAGGTTCATGCAAATCAGCTCATGAATACGAGTACCAGAAGTAACGTGGGCGGTCGCCAAAATGCATAACTCAGAGCCATTGGAAATACCTGCCAAATGGAGCCAAGCATAATGACTGAGTGCAACCACAGTTGCCATGTTCTTTGTAGCATACATCTCTTGGGTTGCCACCGCCATGGCCTCTTGCTGGAATTTGATGACTAACACTTTTTTATCCTTAGGAAGACTGTCTATGAGAGCTTGACTTTTGTTCCATAGGAACCTGTGACAGGCCCCCATGAGTGCTTAATAATTACATATCTGGACTTCCAGCTTGATGCTGTGACAGGACAGTAACAGGAGGACAGAGCTCCATCCGCTGGGCTAAATTCTGACCTGTTTGGGACCCCCCCGGGGTTGGACTTCCAGCTTGACGCTGCGACAGGACAGTAACAGAAGGACAGAGCTCCGTCCCCTGGGCTAAATTCTGACCTGTTTGGGACCCCCCCGGGGGTTAAAAGCACCCCAAAAAGGTAGTGAATTGGAGGAGAAGCCTGTTGATCGGGGGAGGGGGACAATGGTTACCGTCATTTTGATCTTTTAGAAAGACAGGAATAAGAATTGGGAAAAGACAAAGAATAGGAGGAGTTACTTAGAAAGGGCTTCAGGATCAAAGGGATGTGATCATGCAGCCCTTTCACGGCTGCTTTATCCCAGTGGTTCTTAACCTTTGTTACTCAGGTGTTTTTGAACTGCAACTCCCAGAAACTTCAGCCAGCAGAGGTGATGGTGAAGGCTTCTGGGAGTTGCAGTCCAAAAACATCTGAGTAACAAAGGTTAAGAATCAGTGCTTTATCCACTTCCTAAGCCCCGTGGGGATCAATTTTTCTAATTTGGGAGTTAGAAAATAGGGGGAGATTTATAAATGGAAAAATACGGCCTAACTCTTCATTAACACAGAACAGATAACTATGTATCCCACCACCCAAGAGATTAAATGTCAGAAAATAATATATAAAAAGTAGTGATTCTGAAAGTGAGAAACTCTACAGAGGATGCTAGGATATTACAGTATTTGGTATGCACTAACTCCTTAACTGTATTGATTGACTAGTTTCTCATCTCTGTTGACTCATCTTTTGCCCATGTATCCAGAACAGTAGCAGCTAATACTGTATTTTATTAACCAAGAACAATTGCCAATTGTTTCATAAGAACTTTTCAGGCCTCATTTTTAGCATATCAGAATGTAAGTAGGCCAAAATAATAAAGATGATTTAAATATTATCTACAGAGAGGTTAGCTGTGCTAGTTTGTTTCAGCAAAAACAAATGTTTCTCTTAAAACAAAAATATTGAGACACCTTTCAAGCTGCCAAATTTATTTTAGTGTGAGCTTTCTTGAATTATAATCCATTTCTTTAGACACAGCATGTTACAATCCTGTGCTTGAAAAAGTGGACTGTAATTTACTAAAGCTCCTATGGAAATAAAGATAATCTTAAAGGGTGCCACCGTGTTTTTGTTGTAGTTTCTATTTATTTTTAATCTGTGGCTTTCCTTCTGTATATTGCTGAGGTTGGCAAGCTTTTGTTGTAAAATATTCTGGATCATTTAATCTGCAAAGCATTTCACAAGCTATTATTGATCACCACTGAACAAGATAAATTGATGACATGAAAATGTTTTTGCTTTGTAACGCACATAAAAACCATTAAGATTGCTTTTCTTTGACAGCACATAATAGCTGTTAACGGAGATCAACTGCATTTTCATTTACCTGTGTTATGCAAAAAGCTTCCACCTGATACAATTGTCTAAAACTTATCAAACTAATTTCTATTCTCTATGCTTATTTTAATACCCATACAACACAACACATGACAGCTTTGTAGTTTCCTTTGGTCCTCCATCATAAATTCTGTCTTTTACCAAAAAAAGTGTAACATATAATTCTTTCAAAATTCATTTACTTCAGACACCTCCATGAAACTGCTTTTAGAATATGAACTGTACAACAAGAGTCCATTACATTAACAACAACACTCCCAAATACTAAAAAAATGCATTTTTACTGCATACTTCATTCTGAAAAGCACTTTATAAAGATATATCCATTACAATACTATACTAACTGCAGGAAAGAAATAGATCAAAGTAGTATCATATGGTTCACAATAATTATGCCATGGAAGTAAAAAAGCCATAAAGAATGTTAACTATCAGGTTCTTGCTGAACAAGATGGTGAAAATGCATACCAGCAAATAATGAAATGCAAGATCAACAGAGCTACAGCTATTATATGTTTAGCTTATATCTACAATTCTAATTGGCTGACGAATAGAGGGGCCCAAATTAGGCTTATATTATATTAGCCCTCTATCATTAAAAACATGATTTAGGGTGCCGACAGTTACAACAAATGCAATACATTCTGAATATGATTCCAGAGAGAATAAGATGGCATCACTATGATTTCTTTTAAATCTTTATTTTGTTTTATATTATTTTTTTCATAAGCAACAGCAGCACAAGCACACAAAAGGAAATTGACATATAAATCTATCACATCCATCCCCATTAATAGAGAAACTTGCTTTTGTAGGAAGCATCACAGCATAGATGTAGAAATGTAACATTTCTACAAAATTATAGACCCTACTTCGGTTCATTCATGCTCTTTTAGTTATATCTGACATAATTTTAATTGTTCATGCTCTTACAGACAGTATTTAGTATCTAAGTGTTCATTGTCCAACAGGCAAGTTGCATGAATTGGAAGTCTCTTCTCCTTTCTTTACAAACTATTTTTTATTACTGCATAAGTACTGTATTTGCTGGTGTACAAGGTGACTGGCCGTATAAGACTACCCCCAACATTTCCACTCAAAATATAGAGTGGACGGCTCTGCTGTGGCGCCGGCGGCGGCTGCCTGGGGCTCTGCCCGGGCCCACCCTGGAAGTTCATGGCCGGTGGGGAGGAGGGCGAGGAAGAGGGGAAGAGGCTGTACGGGCAGCGGCAGGAGGAGGAGGAGGAGGAAGAGGGGAAGCGGGCAGGTGGAGCGCACCCGCAGCTGGCTGAGCAGCGAGAGGAGGAGGAAGAGGGGAAGAGGCTGCACGGGTGGCAGCAGGAGGAGGAGGAGGAAGAGAGGAAGTGGGCGGGTGGTAGGCGAGCACGTGCGCAGCTGGCTCAGCAGCGAGAGGGTGAGGAAGAGGGGAAGAGGCTGCGTGGGTGGCGGGAGGAGGAGGAGGAAGAAGAGGGGAACTGGGTGGGTGGCGGGTGAGCGAGCACGCAGCTGGCTCAGCGGCACAGGGCAACGGGCAGCCCGGTGGTGGGCTCTGGCCTCTCAGGCATGTCCGTCTCTGCTTCCCTCCCTCCATCCGGACCGACTGCCTACCTGCCTGCCTTCCTCCCCGGCCAGCACGGCCCCGCGTCACTCACTCAACGGCGGCGGCAGCTCCTTCCTGGCCCAAATGAAGTGCACCCGGCATACAAGATGACCTCCCCACTTGGAGGTATGTTTTTGGGCCAAAAAAGTCATCTTGTACACTGGCAAATACGGTATATTCTTCATGCCATTATGTTTCACAGATGACTGATGTTCTACAAAAGGTAAGGTGCTTTACTCACTAATTTCAGAGCAAGGTCCCTTCTTGGCCCACAAACCACTACTGGTTTTGTTGAACTAATAACTTATAGTGTACATGACGTATGATGATACGAGTAAAAAGAAAGTTAACTAGCAAATAAGGCTCCTTAATGTGTTGATGAAACCCAAGAAATATTAACAAACATCTTATTCAACATACAGTTTTATTAGCATGGTTTTCAAAAATTTAGTTTAACGTGTGCTGATATATAAAAATGAAAATAGTATAGTGTAAAATTTTTAGCAAATTACTACATAAAGTATTAAACAGTATAACAAATGTCTGTCCATTTTTAATAGGAGGGGTATCATAAAAATAATAGCAAGCTAATGCAAGCTTGCAATGTTCTCACAGTATTACACCAAGCATTTTTAAAGGTCTCAAATATGATGCAGGCTACATTTTTGAACAAAACAGAATATTTCTCCATAGTGAAATTGAGAACTGCTCAACAAAAAGATGAAACTACTTGGCCAGAGCAGCTCATATAACTTTATAAGTAAAGGAATATAAACATTTTAGAACACCAAATGTCTTAAAATTTAATTGTTCTTAAACGTAATTAACCAATTTTAAAAATTGTGATTGTGACAGTCACAACTACTGTGGCTGGATAGGTCAGTCAGTAGAGCCAGAGGTTGGGAGTTTGATTCTCCATTGTGCCTCTGTGAGTAAAGCCAGCCTGTGTGTCTATGGAAAAGCTGCACAGTTCCAGAACGTCCCCATTTCTGAGTATTATCTACCTGGAAAACCCTGTTCCCTAGAACGTCCCCATTTCTGAGTATTATATACCTGGAAAACCCTGAAACGAGTCACCATGAGTCAGAAGTGACTTGAGAACACATGGTTATTATTACTACAGTGACAAGCAATGATAATAAACTTCACCAATTAGCAAAGTTCAGAGCAAGATCAAGAGGGGGGTCCTTACCTGTTCAAAAGGGGGGAAATGCAATTTATCAATGCACTTTAAAAAGTGCCATGATGCTTTACAAATTAATTATTGGAAGATTATAGAACTGCTCCAGTGCCTCTGTAATTTGTTGAATAAGCTCTATGTGTAGGGAGTAATAAATAGAGTTGTTAATTTTGCTGCATCCCTGGGGAAAAACAGAGAGGGTGCCAAATATACTTGAGTTTATGTGCAACAGTAAATTCTAACTACATTGTTAATTAACCTTGCTTTAAGCCCCTCTTTGCCAGAGAGCCTGTAAGACACAGAACTGCTAGGATCACTCACCATTCTTATTCTTAAAGATGTTTAAAATGGGGAGAATCTGTCGATAATAGGGCACTAAGGCTTCCCCCACCATGTCAGCAGACACAACCAGGTGCTGAAGGACTTTGAGCGTTATGCAGATGACCTGTCGGTTTCGAAGGTTCAGCGCATCTTTGATAAACAAAAAGAGACAAGCAGAAAACAGAGGAATTAATTTCAAGAATGTAGAGGGGGGGAGAAATCCTCTAATGGACAAATTTAATTAAACTGTACTCTGCTGGGGATTGTAAGTGGGCCTTTATTAACCAGGCTTTGAAGGAATCCAAAGATGGATTGCAGGCCCAGCGTTATAAAATACTGCCTTGTCTGACTGTTATTTGTTCCCACAATTTGTGCTGACTCCTCACTAACCCTAAGTAGGCAGCTCATTATTCCTTCTCGCCGCCTATGTTACTGGTCCCCCGCCCCACAAAGATGCAGAAGAAAGCCATCAGTAAGTACCACTGGGACTAATGGAACTACAAAAGCAAACCACAAGGGGTGACAACAAAGACATTCTAGTGCAACAATTAGCCTGTTTGTATTTGCTTGCTTAGCTATCGTTTTATTCATTTCAATTAACAATTCCTACTCTTCGGAGAAAGAGCACAATGAGACAAATGTTTACAGAAAAAAGCTTGTAGGTTGCTTTTAAAAGAAAACAATCTGACAAATAAGATTCTATCTTGCCTACTTGAGAGATGTTTGTGTTATTCCAGGCAGTTGAATATGGCCATTGCTATCAATATAACTTTTGTCCCCGTGCCATTTTGGATTTTACAAAAACAGAGAAAGAATTTTTCTTTGTCTTTCAAAATTAAATGTTTTCAAATGCATAATTCAAATGCCAAATGCTTCAAATTATTGGCCGCCTCTTCCAAAATTACACAGCTGAGAAGCAAAGTCCACAAATGGTAGCTTTGTTCTCCACATATCTGAAATGAATATAAATATGGATAGCAACGCCACACTTCTGATAACATAGATTTTGAATCTACTTGCATTTTTCTGTAAGAGTTTTGAAAGTTAGAAGTATGTTGGCTGCATGAAGCTAAATGTTTTGAAACATTTCTTTAAAATAACAAAAGTTAAAAGATCAGAACATCTCTTGTTCATCCTTAATTCCACAATCTGAAAGAGACTGGGAAAAATATGAACATATGTTGAAGCAGGAATATCCTAAATACAGAATAACTGCCATGAGAAAAGAATAAAGAAATAGGCACAAAAACTGTGATTAAACAACCCAGAATTTCACTAAATGGAAGATGATATCAGAGCTTAAATGACAAATTTCAGTGTATTGAGGTACTGCGCTACCCCACAAACTGGCAAAAACAGACTAGGTATGATGTCTCTATGGTGTTATCAACTCATCTGGAGTTACAACTGATGAGTGGTGTTTCCCTTACAGGAAGTAGTGGGGTGAAGCAGGTTCTCCATTTGAAGCAAGTACAATCTGCACTGATTATGCCGTACTATCATTGCCAAGGAACTGTGCCTCCAGTCAAGGACTGCAGCATTGTCACGGTCCTCCACTTCTCATATCACCTAAGAACACTTCTTTAATTAAAGAAGCCCCACTCAGTGCCATAACAGGATAAGAATAACACCGAACTACTGGAGTAAATTTGCCCATTTTCAAATCTGACATCTCCCCAATGTACAGCTTACTAACCAAGAAACAAAGAAAGTGGGGGAGAAGGTATTTTGGCTCAATCATATACAGTATACAGAAAAAAAAGTATTACTTCATTTTGCTAATCCCATAAAAAAGAACCAGACATACTTAAATATGTTTCCCATGTAAAATGGAAAGACACTGGCCCCTGCTTCTGAAAGAACATAGGGCAGAATATGCCCAAAGCTCCTAACTGTGAGGCCTCAGTCAAATATTTGTATCATTTGGCAATGGACAAGAAAAATTTCTGTGAAGCTCCACATAAACAGCGGCTCTTCACATCAATGAACACTTCTCACACACAGTCCCATGTGTACTTCATATGCATGTTACGCAGTGCTTGGATTCCAGAACAAATATGTGCTATGACTGGAGATGGGAGTGTTCGTATACGAATACGAATACCTGCCCACATGTGCAGATAACGAAGGCCCGGCCTCCTGGGGCCAGACCGACCATTCACACCACTGCCATGAGCTACACGGAGCCTTCCTGTCTCTCCGTTGCTCATGCCACTGCCATGAGCTACAAGGAGCCTTCCTGTCTCTCCGTTGCTCATGATGGATTAACCACTCTGTCATCCCACCTTCTGCCAGGACTGGCTAATCTATCGCGAACAATGGAGCAATAGGAAGGCTCTGCGGAGCTCACAGCAGCGGCGGAATCGTGAGTAGTCAGTTTGGCCCCAGGGGGGCGGACCCTCATTAGCTGCACCTGTGGGGGGATATTCATATACGAATACCCCCATCTCTAGTTATGACTCAATGGGTTTGAGTCAGCCACCCCCGATACGAAAAGTCAGACACTGAACTGAGGAACTCTCATACGCAAAGTGGTTGCTTTTCTGCTAGGCTACACACCCATTATCTCATTCTGCATTGGCTGCCCACTACGTTCCGTGTTGACTTCAAAGTTTTAATGCTTGCAAAGTGGTTGTTTTTCTGCTAGGCTACAACACCACACCCATTATCTCATTCCGCATTGGCTGCCCACTAGGTTCCGTGTTGACTTCAAAGTTTTAATGCTTACGTATAAAGCCCTATAAACGGTTTAGGGCCTTGATACTTAGCAGAAAGCCTGCTCCCACCAAAATCTACCTGTATCACCCGATTGAGTCAGGAGGTGAGGCTGGAGTTTGAAAAAAATACATGACTAACTTGCACATGTTCACCTGTATCACCGGATTGAGTCAGGAGGTGAGGCTGGGGTTTGAAAAAAAATACATGACTAACTTGCACATGTTACAAAATGTACACACCCTTACAATACATATAAATCCATATAGAAAGAGGTAACCAGATGTTCTCCTTAGGGCGATGTGAGAACATTAAGGTACAGCAAGAGCAGAAAGCACATGAACTTTCATATCATTATTATATATTATCAAGTTGTTCACTAACAGGGCTTTCCAGATATGTTCAAGAAATGATTACCATTGCCTCCTTCAAGTGAATTTCCATGGCTAAATGGGGATTAGAACCCAGGTCTCCTAAGCCTAGATAGCCACTGTCTGCTACACTATGCTGGCTCTTGAGGAAGAATATGTATTACAGCCATTATTTTTTAACAATGCCAAAAATCACACACCCCAAAACAGATTTCTCTCTATTTCAATTATCTTTAAATGAGATGAAACAAAAGATGTTTCACTGATGTATTTTCTCTGGTACTAGCTGTTCTAGATAATTTAAAACTCCTCCTTGCTCCTGAGTAATGGTTTTGACAATTCACGGGTAAAAAGACAGGAACCAATCTGACCTGATGTTTTTCCTTGGACATCTTGGAGAAATCTGTCCTTCTCTTAGATTTCAAAGGCAATAAAAATAATAATGCCACCTTCTCTGGGATACACAGATCTTTAGATAGAAGAATGTGAGATGTATTCTCCAATATACATTCTTACTAAGAACCAAAATGACACAGCAGTAGTAGTGATGTTAATACCAAGAACAGCAAAGAGAATAGCTAATGCTACTGCAACTAATATTCCCCTTTAATTTTTGTGTGTGTGCAAAAGCTCACTTTCTTCAACTGAATTAATTAATTAATTGCATTTGTACCCTGCCCATCTAGTCAACTGACTACTGTACTCTGGACAGCTTCCAACACATATAACAACAATATAAAACTATAACGTTAAACATCAGTAATGGAGTTATTCAAGATAGGAAAAAAAGAAAAAATCAAATAACAATTGAGGGGAAGGCCTGCCGAAACATCCAGGTTTTCAAAGGGGCCACCCAGATATCCAGAGGAAGATTATTCCAGAGGCGAAGAGCTACCTCCGAGAAGGCTTGGTTTCTTGTTCTTTCCCTCCGGACCTGCCTCGGCGTCAGGCTCCTCAGCCTCACCTCCTGACTCAATCGGGTGATACAGGTAGATTTTGGTGGGAGCAGGCTTTCTGCCAAGTATCAAGGCCCTAAACTGTTTAGGGCTTTATACGTAAGCATTAAAACTTTGAAGTCAACACGGAACCTAGTGGGCAGCCAATGCAAAGCGGCCAGAAGGGGAGAGATAAGATGATATTTTCTCACACCACTAAGGAGTCTGGCAGCTGCATTCTGTACCACTTGGAGTTTCTGCATCAACCTCAAAAGTAGCCCCACGTAGAGCACATTGCAGTGGTCTAATCCTGAGATTACAAGTGCATGTACCAAGGTAGTGAGTGCCCCAACATCAAGATAGGGATGCAGCTGGGCTATCTGCCAAAGATGGAAAAAAGCGGTGCGTACCACCGACGCCACCTGAGTTTCCATGGTGGAGTTTCTGCATCAACCTCAAAAGTAGCCCCACGTAGAGCACACTGCAGTGGTCTAATCTTGAGATTACAAGCACATGTACCAAGGTAGCGAGTGCCCCAACATCAAGATATGGATGCAGCTGGGCTATCTGCCAAAGATGGAAAAAAGCGGTGCGTACCACCGACGCCACCTGAGTTTCCATGGTGAGCGCCGGGTCCAAACTCCGAACCTCACTCTTGTGGTAAGAGTTACCCTCCCAAAAGATAAGGAGATTCCCAAACCACTGATGTCTGGGGCACCCAACCGAAGGACCTCCATCTTGCCTGAGTTCAGCCTCAGTCGATTCTCCTGCATCCATTGCTGAACAGCCTCCAGGCAGCATTCAAGGGACAAAACAGCATCCACTATTGTTGGAAAAAAGGAGATGTAGAGCTGAATATCATCCGCTTACTGATGACACGAAGCCTCACATCCCTTGATGACCCCTCCCAGCAGTCTCATATAGATGTTAAACATCATTGGAGAGATTATCAACCCCTGCGGAACCCCACAATTGAGGCTCCACAGGGCCGAGAAACTCTCTCCAATCTGCACTCTCTGGGGGGCAGTCCTCCAAGAAGAAATGGAGCCAGGCAAGAGCCAGGCCACCAATTCCCAACTCAGAGAGCCTCCCAGGAGGATACCATGGTCAACGGTATCAAGATGTTAAG